GATATAGAAGGTGGGGAGGAGGAGGAAGTGAAGATGAAAGGGAAGTGGGAGTAAAAGGAGGAGGAGGTGAAGAAGGAAGCAGAAGAAAGAAGTGAAAATGGAAGAAGAGTAGAAGAAGAGGGAGGAGGAGGTGGAGAAGGTGGAAGAAGTGAAGATGAAAAGGAAGGAGTAGAAGGAAGCAGAGTTAGAGGTGAAGAAGGATGAGGAGGAAGAGGTGGAGAACGGGAGGAGGAGGAAAAGGTGGAGGAGGAAAAAGTGAAGATGGAAGAGAAGTAGGATCAGAGAGGGGTGGAAGAGGATAAAGGCAAGTAGGAGGAAGAAGTGGAGAAGAGGGAAGAGGAGGTAGAGATGGAAGAGGAGGAGGAGGAGGAGGAGGAAGAAGCAAAAATAAAAGGGAAGTAGAAGTAGAGGGAGGAAGAGGTGGAGGTGAAGAAGAAAGATGAAAGACTTGGAGAAGGGGAAGAGGAGGAAGAGGTAAGGATGGAAGGGGAAAAGGAGTAGAGGGAGGAAGATTTGGAGGAGGACGAGTAGAAGGAAAAGATGGAGAAGGGGTTATATTAAAAAAATACATTTTACCATCTGTTATCCACATCATGCTAAACTCAATCCTTTATTCAACTATATTGGGATTCTAATAAATTTAAATGGATTTAACTACATATAGAGACTGAAAGGTATAAGAATAATAACCACTTCTTAAGGAAACAAAAGGATACGAGAAAGATACAAAGTAAACAAAATTAATTCCTGTAGAATTGGAAGGAAAACAGAAGAAAAGTAATCAGGGAGAGCAGTGACTATAGGCTGGAGGAAAAATTAAATATACTGAGAGATTCTACTGATGAGACTATCCATACTTACAATCAGGGGCAGACTGACAACTCCTGGTGCCCCTGGGCAATAGGGGATCATGGGGCCCCTGTGTCCTTGCCCAAACTCAAAAAAAGCTTATGAAAAAGGTACCAGGGGCATCTCATGGGGCCCCATACTGACCCCGGGCTCTCGGGTAGTGCCCGAGTTTTCAAATGGTCAGTCCGCCCCTGCTTACAATAAATGGCTGCCCATGAGGGGCAAGTAGCATTCTTGTGCACTTTTGGTAAATGATGGAAGTGTGGTGTTTGTAGAAATCTCTCATAAAGAACATTTTCTGTGTTTTGTCAATACCACCCATAATATATGTCTTCTCAGTAATCTTATGTAGTGTTGGCTTAAAACTGGTAAAGGGTCAATAGAAAGTACTTGATATGTACAGTATGTGTACCCCACAACAGTCTGCAGGCCTCTTTCAGGTAATCTTCTCTATCCTGTACAATGTTTCCACCTCCTTTATCCGCAGTGTATATTATTAAATTGTTATTCTTTTTGATTGTATCTAATTCAAATTTTTCCATGTTTGCAAAAATTATTGTCCCCTATATCAAGGGGATTGTGGTACTGCTTGATGAAATTGCTATAGACCGTTGCATAAAACATTTTTTTATATTCATTGTTAACATGAAGAGGATAAAACAATGATTTAGGGTGGAAGGCTGTGTGTATGAAAGGAGTGGAAAACGGTGTTGAGAAATTGTAATCTTCTAAATTATCTGTTTGACCCTCCAAAAATAAAACATACAGTAAGTTTGTATTGTGACTAGCCTTCATTAGAAATACAATATATTACTGGTGTTTCCCTTCCAACACTACAGGAATGAAGCTTGTTTATTTTGTATCTTTCTAGTATCCTTTTTTTGCCAGTATAATTTTTCTATTGGATTTAGGTCAGGCGAGCGTGCGGGCCATTCAGTGGTATCAATTCCTTCATCCTCCAGGAACTGCCTGCATACTCTCCCCACATGAGGCCGGGCATTGTCATGCACCAGGAGGAACCCAGGACCCACTTTACCAGTGTAGGGTCTGGCAATGGGTCCAAGGATTTCATCCCGATACCTAATGGCAGTCAGGGTGCCATTGTCTAGCCTTTAGAGGTCTATACGTCCCTCCATGGATATGCCTCCCCAGACCATCATTGACCCACCACCAAAACAGTCATGGTGAACGATGTTACAGGCAGAATAACGTTCTCCACGGCTTCTCCAGACCCTTTCACGTCTGTCGCATGTGTTCAGGGTGAACCTGCTCTCATCTGTGAAAAGCACAGGGTGCCAGTGGTGGACCTGCCAATTCTGGTGTTCAATGGCAAATGACAATCGAGCTCTATGGTGCTGGGCAGTGAGCACAGGGCCCACTAGAGGATATCAGGCCCTCAGGCCACCCTCCTGAAGTCTGTTTCTGATTGGTCAGAGACATTCACACCAGTGGCCTGCTGGAGGTCATTTTGTAGGGCTCTGGCAGGGTTCATCCTGTTCCTCCTTACACAAAGGAGCAGATAGCGGTCCTCCTGATGAGTTAAGGACCTTCTACATCCCTGCCCAGCTCTCCCAGAGTAACTGCCTGTCCCCTGGAATCTCCTCCATTATCTTAGATAACTGAATACTAACATTTATAGGTAAAGTTGATCCAGGGAATTTTCGATTGCCTCTCGGGGGATCAGGAAGCAATTTTTTGCCCTGCAGGAGAAAATAGGATCATGCTTTGCTGTTTTTTTTTGCCTTTCTCTGGATCAATTGAGGATATAGTTTTATACCTTTTTTTTTTTTGGTTGAACTGGGTGGACTGTTGTTTTTTTTTCAGCCAGACTAACTATGTAACTCTTGATACTGTGCTGGGAGACACAGCAAACCTTCTGGCAATGGCACTTATTGATGTGCCATCCTGGAGGAGTTGGACTGCCTGTGCAACCTCTGTAGGGTCCAGGTATGGCCTCATGCTACCAGTAGTGACACTGACCCTAGCCAAAAGCAAAACTGGTGAAAAACAGTCAGAAAAGATGAGTAGGGAAAAAAAATGTCAGTGGCCTCCAGCTGTAAAGCCATTCCTGTTTTGGGGGTTGTCTCATTATTGCCCATCAAGTGCACCTGTTGTTATTTTCATTAACATCAAAGCAGTTGTAACTGATTAACAACCCCCTCTGCTGCTTAACTGACCAGATCAATATCCCAGGAGTTTATTGACTCGATGCTAGACTCTGATTAAAAAGTGTTCCTTTAATTTTTTTTAGCAGTGTATATATTTATAATTTGGAAGGGAAAAGTTGGGTTGAAATTGAAAATACACTAAGTAATGTACAGTTGGAGAGGATTATTTCACGAAAATATTGAGTGTTGGATGAAGAGAGTAGTACACTGACATGGGAGTGTTAAGAGTGTGGTATGGGGTGCACAAATCTTTGGGTTGGGAATATAATTCATTATTGATACCCCTGGTGGATACTGATTCTTTTCCCACCAGGAAATGATCACATTTCAGGGAAATGGTTTAGAAATAGAAATGCACGATTAGGGGATATAGTTGATAAGGGAAAGTCATGTAAACTTCAGGAATCAACCACTTGCTGTCCAATTGCTGTAAATATAAACGCTGGACGGTGGCAGTACAGGGATATTTTGGATTGTGTGCGCTCCCTGGGAGTGCGCAGCACCGCGATCCGGTGCCTGCTGTGTCCGGAGAGCACCGATCGCTGTATGGGACCTCTGTGTGAGGTCCCGATCATGTGATCACTGATTGGCCAATCAGTGATCACATGAACAGTAGTAAGCAAGATGTCACATCCTGGCATCGTTGCTTACTACATGTGAAATCTGTGAATGATCACAGAGATCACATGGTACAAGGCTATTCACAACAGACTTGTACCATGTGACAAGCTGTGACCAATCACAGCTCTCACAGTATTTCTCAATGGCTGCAAGAATGCAGCCAGAGAGAAGAAGAATTGATTACTTTTTATGGTGCAAAAGCAATCAGTGTTAAAAAAAACAAAAATCTTCATCATCCCCCTCAAGTAGTACAGTGTCACTATGGTGACACTGTACAGCTAGGATGACATAAACATAAATAATAATATAAAAAAATACAATAAAATGTAAAAAAAAATTTTGAAAAATTATAATTTTTTGGTTATTATTATTTTATTATTATTATACAGTATTTATATGGGGGACAGTACATGAGACAATACAGTAACAAAACAGTATACGAGGGGTTCGAGGGCCCTGCTCTAATTTGGGTTTTTATTTTTACTAAAAAGATAACTGAATACATAGATTTATGAAAAAGATTTTTTATTTGCAAAATTTTATAAGAAAAACACTTTTTTTTTCAAAATGTTTGGACTTTTTCATTTATATAGCAAGAAAAATTAAAATCCCAGTGTTGAATAAATACCACCAAACTTTTATCTGTCTCAAAAAAATACTAAAAAATTCATATGGGTACCGTGTTGCATGACCGCGCAATTGTCATTCAAAGTGCGACAACGCTGAAATCTGAAAATTGGCCTGGACAGGAAGGGGGTAAAAATGTCCGGACATGAAGTGGTTAAGGAGTAAAAAAAGATTTATTTTATACACTGGATGAATTTAGATATTATCAGTTGGGCCATTTTGTTTCACTTCCCCAACCATGGAGGATGTTGGAGGATATGCTTCCATTTGAAAAAATGTTGAGTTACGGCTCCGCGTATAAACATAATTTCCAGAATATATAAGATTCTTATGAAATGAGCGGGACCGGAACCTCCGTTCTTCTTAGAAAGGTGGGAAAGAGTATTGGGTACAAAAATGAATGGGCAACAAAACAATAAAATGTATAAGTTGATGCAAGGAGTGGTAAATATAAACACAGTAGAAATGAATTCTATGTGTTTTGCTGGGTGGTATTGTACACCGAGTGTTGCACATAAACAGAGAGAAGGAATTTCCCCACTGTGTTGGAGGGGTTGTGGGGGAAGAGGGACTATAACTCACATTTGGTGGGATTGTATAAAAATTCAGGGCTTTTGGCAAGAGAAAATACGATATATACAGGAGATTGTGGGGATAACTTTCCAAAAGGACCCGTGGGTTTGTTTGTTCTATGGGACCGAGTTGTCAATAAAACAGTATAAAAATAGCTTAATATATCATTTAATTAGCGCTGCAAAAGGCTTAACCCCCCCTGGCGGTATTCCCGAGTGTAGCTCGGGGTAAAGTTTCAGCACCACAAGCGGTAACCCCGAGCTACACTCGGGAATACACTGCAGCGTTGCTCTGGGATCCCTCGATCACTTACCTTGTCCTGCGCTCCCACGATGTCCCTCCTGCAGTGTCCCCGGCAATGTCCTCCGGCCGATGCAGGCATTTGTCTTCTGGGTTCTGTTCCCTGTAACATTGGGATGTACGAGGGACGAAAGCGGCGGGAAATTTGAAAATTGTAAAGTGACATACACTAAAATCACATAGTAAAACATTACTGTATCAAACCATTTCACATACATTTTGTCCCGAGTGCTTTGTCCTGCGCCCTGCCTGCATTTTTACTGTTCTTTCTACCTGGAAACTGAGAAACGTCCATGGCGTCCAAAAAGCGTCCCTTTACCCTCGGGGTAAAGTTTCAGTACCACAAGCGGTAACCCCGAGCTACACTCTGGAATACCTTGCAGCGTTGCTCCGGGATCTGTTCTTCACTTACCTTGTCCTGCGCTCCCGCGATGTCCCTCCTGCAGTGTCCCCGGCCATGTTCTCCAGCAGATGCCGGCATCTGTCTTCCGGGTTCCGTTCCCTGCGACGTCGGGACGTATGGGGACGGAACTGGCGGGAAATGTAAAAATGTCAAAAAGTGACATTCACTCAATACACTAAAATCACATAGTAAAACATTCCTGTATCAAACCATTTCATATACATTTTGTCCCGAGTGCTTTGTCCTGTGCCCCTGCCTGCATTTTTACTGTTCTTTCTGCCTGGAAACTGAGAAAAGTCCATGGCGTTCAAAAAGCGTCCCTTTAGGTCAAAAGCGGTTTTAGACCAGCTAGAGAACAGTGATAGTAAATCAGAACCACTTGCAGAATTGAGTGATAATGATTCGTGGGGAAATTCATCATCAGACACTGAAAACGATTTTGTGACTTTGCTCAGTGATGTGCGAACTTGGCGCTCTATTTCAAATTTCAGTGTTTTTGGTTTGATTATTTTATTGAATTACATTTATTATTATTATTTTATTATTTTTTATGATTATTTATTAAATTATAATTTATGATTTTGTGTTTCAAATTTTATCATACCCGGGATGTTTACTAGACTCTTGTTCGGACAGATTTCAGTGAGTTATTATTAAGAATTACAGGCCTACAATAACAAAATGACATATTTCCATGCAAAAAAAGTACCGCTTTGAGCACAGAAATACTGACGTAATCAGACTGCTAGAGAGGCTACTCCCTAAATTTTGGTGGGTTCCAGATCCCCCAACAATGAGAGATTGGATGAGGAGGATTGAATATATATGCACGATGGAGGAGTTATACCACATAGAGGAAGATAAAATGAGAAATTTTTTAAAAGAATGGAATAGGTGGCATGTTTTTTAAATCATCAGAAAAATATCTCAGGATAATGGGTACCAAGTAGGTCGATTTAGAGCAGTGTTTCTCAACTCCAGTCCTCATGGACCCCCAACAGGTCATGTTTTCAGGATTTCCCTCAGATGAAACAGCTGTGGTAATTACTAAGGCAGTGAAAACTGATCAAATCACCTGTGCAAAATAATGGAAATCCTGAAAACATGACCTGTTGGGGGTCCATGAGGACTGGAGTTGAGAAACACTGATTTAGAGATATAAACTGAACTGTTGAGTGGTAATCATGAAGACTGACTATAGGTTTTTAGTAGAAAGGTTTTAGAAATTAGTTATGGGGATAGGGGGGAGGGGTTGAGAAGGGGACAGGGTTTAGGAAAAGGACAGTTAATGCTGTTTATGTTTGATAACTTATGTATTGTTTTAATTACTACTGAAATCAAATTTAATAAAAGATATTAACCACCTCCTGTCCAAACGTTGTATATAAACGGCCGGACGGTGGCAGTGCAGGGTCGGGTGGCCATTTACAAACAGCCTCCCAGCACCCTGCTTGTGCGCACTCCCTGGGAGCGCGCAGCAGCACCGCGATCCGGTGCCCGCTGTGTCCTCCGGACACAGTGGAACACCAATCGTCGGATGGGACCTCTGTGCAAGGTCCCGATCATGTGATCACTGATTGGCCAATCAGTGATCAAATGCAGAGTAGTAAGCAAGATGTCCAGGGGCGGACTGACAACTCATGGGGCCCCTGGGCAATCGGGGATCATGGGGCCCCTGTGTCCTTGCCCAAACTCAAAAAAGCCTATGCAAAAAGGTACCAGGGGCATCTCATGGGGCCCCCTACTGACCCCGAGCCCTCGGGCAGTGCCCGAGTTTCCAAATGGTCAGTCCGCCCCTGAAGATGTCACTTCCCTGACATCATTGCTTATTACGTGTGATATCTGTGAATGATCACAGAGGTCACATGGTGCAAGGCTATTCACAACAGCCTTGTACCATGTGACAAGCTGTGACCAATCACAGCTCACACAGTAGTTCTCAATGGCTGCAAGAATGCAGCCAGAGAGAAGGAGAAATCATTGCTTTTACAGCCTTTATGGGTGTAAAAGCAATCAGTGTAAAAAAAAAAAAAAAAAAAATCTTCATCACCCCCCCCACAAGTAGTACAGTGTCACTATGGTGACACTGTACTGCTAGGGTGACAGTATGAAAAAAAAAAAACAATATAAATATAATGTAAAAAAATATTTAAAATTATAATTTTGGGTTATAAACTAATTTGCATTTTTTTTTTCTACTAAAAGGATAACGGAATAAATTTTGGCCAAGATTTATGATGAAATACTATTTATTTGCAAAATTTTTTAAGAAAAACACTTTTTTCAAAATTTTGGGACTTTTTCATTTACATAGCAAAAAAAATAAAGAAATCCCAGTGGTGAATAAATACCACCAAAATAAAACTTTATCTGTCTCAAAAAAATTCTAAAAAATGCATATGGGTACAGTGTTGCATGACTGCGCAATTGTCATTAAAAGTGTGACAACACTGAAAGCTGAAAATTGGCCTGGACAGGAAGGGGGTAAAAGTGTCCAGACTTGAAGTGGTTAATAAAAAAAAAGACGTAAATTTCATTTGGGTGCAGCGTTGCATGACCGCAAAATTGTCAGCTAAAGTAACGCAGTGCAGTACTGCAAAAAATGGGCTGGTGAGGAAGGGGGGGGGGAAATCCTCTGGAGGGCAAGTGGTTAAACTTGTGCTTTCTCCATCAATGCATGCTGTGGATTACAAAAAAAAAAAAAAAATCCCTTAGGCCTCATTCACACTTGTCACCGTGTTGCATAGTTGGAGCCTTTTTAGCATGTTTTTTGGAGAGGCACCTAAAGAAGCTCATGTACCAAATGTTACCACTGAGCCAAGTGCGTTTTGTATTGCACGTTTTTTTTCATGCTTTGTTGTGCAAAAAACATGTGGCAAAATGCGCAACTACTACCCGCGATTGGGGTGCCATTAAGAAAATATTGGCAACGTAAGCATTTTGCGTGCATTAGCCCGTTTTTCGTGCGTTTGCAGAATCAGGAACAGATACGTTCTTTTCTGCCCGCAATTCTGCTATACCCTTTATCTTGAGTGGTCTTAAACCGGTGTTTTTTTCTTCATCAATATATACTGTGAACTACAAAACACCTCCTCCAAACTGCTCCAGGCCCCCCGAGGGCTCACACCCAAATAAATTTTCAAATCCCTTAAATTAATAAGTAGGTCTGCAACAGTCCTCCTCAATACTGTACTTCCAGGCAGATCCATATTTAATGCCGGAATATAGAGGTTTTTAATGCACGTGTTGACTTTGGAATTATTTTTTAATTATTTATAAGGAAGAGTACCACACAATTGCCTTCTTCCTCCATTGCTGATTCCCTGGAATGGTTGATATAATGGAGGAGCAGTAAAGTGGCTCGTAAAAGTTCAACTGGGTGGTGGGAAGTGGTGACCTGGAAGGCAGACATTGAACAGAACAGTTGTTTACCTGCTTATTATCCATCCACTTGCCCCCCCCCCCCCCTTTCTGACCAGGACATTTTTTGCAACACGGCGCTGCGTTACTTTATCCGACAATTGCATGGTCATGCAACGCTGCACCCAAATGAAATTTATGTCCTTTTTTCCCACAAATAGAGATTTCTATCGGTGGTATTTGATCGCCTGTGCGGTTTTTATTTTTTGCGCTGAAAACAAAAAAAAATGACAATTTTGGAAAAAAAAAAAACAAATATTGACTTTTTGCTATAAAACATATCCTATAAAAAAATTCACAAAAATAATTTCTTCATAAATTTAGGCCAAAATGTATTCTGTGACATGTCTTTGCTAAAAAAAATCCCAATATGTGTAAATTAATTGGTTCATTATGTCCTTTTTTCCCACGAATATCGCTTTCTTTCGGTGGTATTTGATTGCCTGTGCATTTTTTATTTTTTGCACCATGAAAAAATTTATACCAACACTTTTGAGAAAAAAAACTATATTTTTGAATTTTTGCTATTAACCACTTGCCGCCCAGCCACCGCATATAAATGGCGGCAGGGCGGCACTTGTAGGCAAAAGCACGTTTTAAAACGTCTACCTTCAAAACAGGTAGGGGGCGCGCGCGAAGGCGCGCGCCCGCCCTACCTGTCCCGCGGGTGTTAGCAGCGGGTGTCAGCCGCCGGGTCACGGCCAGTTTTTACCGGCCGTTTTCCCGCGATTGATGGTGATCGCTGACACAGAGCAGGGCTGCATTGTTTTCACACAGCCCTGTTCTGTGTCAGTTCTCTGACAGCTTGTGAGAAGCTGCAGAGTTTCTCTCCCTGGATCAGCTCCCCCCCCCTCCCCCCTCCAGTACACACCCCCCGCCCCCTAGTAAAACACTCCCCTTACACAGCAAATTCTAAAAATGTTAACCCTTTCCTCCCCAGTGACATTAGTACAGTTTCAGTGGGTTTTTTTCACTGATCACTGTATTGGTGTCACTGGGGATGTCAGTGACCCCAAGTCAGTTCCCCCCCCAGTGTCAAAATGTCCGCCGCAGTCCTGCCATAAGTCGCTGGTCGCTGCCATAAGTCCCTGATCACCGCCATATGTCACTGATCGTCGCCATTATTAGTATAAATAAAAATTAAAAATCCCAGTATCTTTCCCGCCATTTGTAAACGCTATAACTTTCACATAAACCAATTAATTTACACGTATTGGTTTTTTTTTTTTAGCAAAGACATGTCGCAGAATGCATTTTGGCAGAAATTTATGACTAAATTTGATTTTTGCATTTTTTTTTTACTGGACATGTTTTATAGCAAAAAATTCCAAAATATTGTTTTTTTTTCCTCAAAATTGTCAGGCTTTTTTTTTATAGCGCAAAAAATAAAAAACCGCGCAGGCGATCAAATACCACCGAAAGAAAGCTCAATTTGTGGGGAAAAAAAGGATGTAAATTCATTTATGTACCGTATTGCATGACCGCGCAATTGTCCGTTAAACTAGCGCAGCGCTGTATAGCAGAAAAAATGGTGTAAATTGCAGTATCTATACCATAGTTTGTAGACGCTATAACTTTCACACAAAGCAATCAATATACACTTATTGGGATTTTTTTTACCAAAAACATGGAGCAGAATGCGTTTTGGCCTAAATTTATAACTAACTTTGAGTTTACTATATATTTTTTATAGCTGAAAGTAAAAAATATTGTTTTTCTTCAAAATTTTTGGTCTTTTTTTGTTTATAGCGTGAAAAATAAAAAGCGCACAGGTGATCAAATTACACCAAAAGAAAGCTCTATT